AGTGTCACACCACAGAATCAAAGAGTGAATGCATAATTAATGGTTCTGTTTGAGATTATTTCAATAAAGGATAAGCAACAATTTAAGATTAATTATAGCTTGTTTTAATAACTTTACATCAGGCTTACCTTCCTCTATCAGTGACTGAGAAAACAAGCAGAAAACCCTCCCCTGTCCTCATGTACTGTTCACGCATGGCTCCAAATTCTTCTTGTCCTGCTGTATCCAGAACTGAACATAAGCAAAACATTGATTACTAAAGTTCATGTTCTTAGAGTGTAGACTGAGAAAAAAAAATCCTTCCTAATAGGATATTGTGAGAGCCTCTCCTGTACATCATAACTAAGCAGAAATCACTTTTCACAGATACTATTGAATTTTTGCTAAGATTCCTTGCAAGTTCTTGGGCTGACTGAATAATTCAAGACCTACCAAACAAATTGAACAACAAAGTGTGGAGGAGTTTCGTTAATTCACAGCCAGCTGAAGCAGCTGGAAAATGCTTAGAGAGACTTGGGGATGGGAGTTGGAACGGTTGCTAGTTTGTCCTTAAAGAAACCACTGACAAGGGAGAACCTAAACTTTTAAAACAAAGCATTTATATTGCACTTGGGAGAGGCAGCACTCAAAAGCCAAGCGATGTGTTTTTCATTCCACCATGTAACCCCTATCACTGCCAGGAGTTATATAAATTCTCCTGGTTTTGTAGGCACTAATGCTTCAGAAAGAATTCTTCAAAAAAAATGTCAAATTTACTTTAAAGAGAGACACTTGGACATACATGAGGCACAAGCACTTCAAATCCTGGGTATCTCATTAGTTAAAAAAAAAATTAAAAAGGTAGCTAGCTTTTATCAGCCACACACTTCCATAAAAACCATATGCTGCACGTTTCCCTGCGCTACATTTTATGGATTCAGATATAAACACAGGCATCAACAGCTATAGGCTGCCAGTCCCACACTTCAGGCCACTTACTGTCCAAACGCGCAGCTCTTTCATCTATCACACATTGCTTGGTGTAGGAGTCTTCAATCGTTGGATCATAATCCGTCACAAAATAGGACTGCAGAAAATAAGACAAACGTGTGTGTAAGACAAGCACATACAGGACACTCATTGAGTAAGATGTTAAAATTGTACACCTGACAGCTTAGGAAAGATGAGCAGGTTTTACCCATTTGCCACTTTATCCAAAAAGACAGTAGGTAATGGCTTTCCTATTCCTAGGAAACACTCCTAAATTGTAGAAATTGCTAGCAGAGTCACTGAATTTACTGAACTCACACAGGATTTCTAGCATTTTCTACAGATTTCTGGTAACTTGTAGAATTTCCCAG